TTTGATGGTACTTGAGTTCTTTCACAACTGGAAACTGCATTTTGAGACACAGTGATACATGTGTTAAGTGGCACAGTGCAATCCACTGCAAAAGCCAGCAAGTGAGACTGTGTCAAGGAGAATATACATTTCAGAACTGATGGCTCACATTCTATTTGCATATTTGAAAAAGCAGAGCTTTGAGGATGCAGTAATTCATAGACTCAAAGAATATGTTGAATTGGAAGGGACCCATCCGGATCATTCTGTCCAACTTTTGGCCCTGCACAGCGCCATCCCCAAGAGTCACACCATGTACCCAGGAGTATTGTCCAAACCTTTCTTGAACTCTTGTCAGGCTTCATGCTGTGACCAACTTACCTGGAGTGCCTATTCCAGTGCCCAAACATCTTTTCTGATAATCCCACCTAAACCTCTCCTGACTCAGTCTCATGCTGTTTCCTCAAGTCCTGTCACTGGTTGCAACAGTCAAGAGATCAGTGCCTGACGCTTCCCTTGTGAGGATGTTGAAAATTGCAATGTCTCCCCCTCAGTCTCCTGCAGGCTGAACAGAACAAGTGACCCCCAGCTGCTCCTCACATGACTTCCCCTCCAGACCCTTCACCAGTTTCATTGCCATCCTTTGAGCCTTCTCCAAAAGCTCAATGTCATTTTTCCATTTTATCACCCAGACCTGCCCCAGCACTCGAGGTGAGGCTGCCCCAGTACAGAGCAGAGCAGGACAATCCCTCCCTTGCCCGGCTGTGATGCTGTGCCTGATGCACCCCAGGACACAGGTGGCACTCCTGGCTGCCAGGGCACTGCTGAACCATGTTCAGCTTCCCACTGGCAGGACCCCCAGGCCACTTTCCATGGAGCTGCTCTCCAGCCTCTCATTCCCATCTATAAACACACCCATGGTTGCCATGGCCCAGGCACAGAATCTGTTGCTTTTCCTCATTGAACTTCATACAGCTGATGCCTGTCCAGCCCTCTCATTTGTCCATGTTTCTCTGCAAGGCCTCTGAGGGAGTAGACAGCCTCTCCCAATTTAGTGTTGTTGGCAAACTTACTTGGTATCCATTCCAGTCTTGCGTCCAGGTAATTTATGAAGGTGTTAAAGAGAACAGGGCTGAGGACGGAGCTCTGCAGAACGCAATCAGTGACAGGTCCCCAGTCTGATGTCACCCCATTCACTGTAACCCTTTGTGCCTGACCCATGAGACCAGGTGCTCACATATCACATGATGTGTTTATTTAGCTGAGTGCTGGATGTTTTGTCCAGAATGATACTGACAGAGACAGTATGGAAAGCTTTACTGAAACCCAAAAAGATTACATCACCTGTCTTCCTCTGGTCAGCTAGGTGGGTTATGTTGCTGTAAAAGGAAATCAGACAAGAAGGACCTTCCCCATATGAAACTACTGGCTGTGACTGATAACTGGGCCATCCTCCACGTGTTTTTCAGTACTCCCAGAATAATCTTTTCCATGATTTTACCAGGCAGTGAAGTGAGACTTCACTGTAGTTCTCAGGGTCTTCCTTCTTGAAAACCAGGATAGTGTTCATCAGCTTCCAGTCAGCTGGAACCTCTCCAGATTCCCAAGACTGCATAAAAACCATGGAGAGATGTGATGACATCAGCCAGCTCTTTTGATGAATCCCAATTCCTGGATGAATCCCAACAGGCCCTGTAGATTTGCAGGGATTCAGGTGGAGCAGAAGATTCTGAACATGTTTAGAGTCAACAGGAAATTGTTTCTACAGTCCTCCAGGTCAGGACACTGAGACCCCCTTGGCCCATTAGCTGTGTTAAAGACAAAGAATGCACCGAACACCTCTGCCTTGCCCCTGGTCCCTGTATGTGAGGTGACTCTCCTCATCCTGTAATGGGCTGATGTTATTTCTGCCTTTTGACATTATTACATTTGAAAAGACTTTTTATTGTCCCCATTTCTGGCCAGCTTCCACTCCAGTTGAGCTCTGGCTGCATAAATTTTCTCACCACAGTGGGAAGCAGCACCTCTGCATTCTCCCCAAGTTACCTGACCTTTACTTCCATTGGGCATATACCTTACTTTTTCCCTTATATGCAAGAGAAGATTCCTGCTCAGCCAAGATGGCCTCCTGCCTCACCTGCCTGACTTCCAACATTTAGGAGTTGCCCGCTATTGTGCCCCTAGGACGTGATGTTTAAAAAGTGACCACCATCAATGGACCCCAGCTCTCACCCAAATATTTCCCCAGAGGATTTTACTCACTAGTTCCCTGAGCAGTCTGCTATCCTCATGTCCAGAGCTGAGATTTTGCTGGGATTTCCCCTCCCATCAACAGAGATTTTAAACTCAACTGCTTTGTGGTCACTGTGGCCAAGATGGACACCAGTCTCCACTTACGAGAACCTCTCTGTTGACAAGCAGTAGGTCAAGGAGGGACTCTTTCCCAGCTAGCTCCCTTTGCTAATGTAAAGCTGTCACCAAGGTTTTAAAGAATGTTACAACCTGGGTTGTGCCAGCTGTGTGATGTATCCCAGCTTATTTCTGGCAAATTGAAGTCCTGCGTAAGGACAAGGGCAGTTGATTTGGAAGTGTCCCCTAGCTCCTCAAAGCATCATTGATAAGGGAAGATCCTTACGCTGTTAAATAAAGTCATCTACTCCTGAAGCAAGCTCCTATATCCTCCTAAAGCAAGGATAGCAAAGGCTAGAATTGGACAAAAGCTGCAGCAATGCCACTGCTCCTGAAAAGCCAAGCCCATCTATTGCACATGTAAGATTAAATAAGAAATTAGGAACCCTATCTGTCTTAAGCACACTGTCACTCCTGAATCACTTGATAAGCACTGTTGGCATGAAAAATCACAAATCATTTGCAAGGAAATACCACATCTGAAAGTCAGATGGTCGTGTGCACCACAGTGTGAGCTGTGGGACAAGGAAGGTTACAGCAGACACACCAGACACAGAAACTAGAGTTGCAGGCAATAGTTAAAAACAAGACAGGAAAACAAAATCACGGAAGAGTACACAGGATACACTATCTGGTGGCAGTGATATGATTTACTGGAAGTTAGCAACAGAAATTGTCAGCTAATTATTGAAAACACTAGGAGACTCACAAGCAGTGATAACACAGGTTTGTGAGCAAAGACAGACACTGCACAGGCTGAAGAAGATGCTGTGACACAAAGGCAGGGAGCAGGGAGCTGATCAGGAAAGAGGAGGAGGGCAATTCTGCTCCTCAGGCTAGGACTGGGCATTGCCAAATTACCAGTGATGCTGGAAGCTGCTCCGCAATATACTCATGTGCAAAAAGTGTGGCTTTGCAAGTATCTGAGCTCACAGATTGATACCGTTCTCTTTTCCCTTCTCTCCCAAATCCAAAAGGTATGTGTGGGAACCTGCATAAGATTCCTGAAAGCATGAATGAATCTTCAAGTATGTCTGAGTACCAAGAAAACCTGCTATTGATGCAGCTATTAAATATCCTATGCAAATGAATACCTTTTAAGTAACTACATCTGTCAATTTAGTTTACATTTTCTTAAAACCAAAATCACAGAACTTTTTTTTTTCCTTCTTCTTTTATTGTTTTGTTTCACTACCAGTTTCCTGTGTGACCGTGGCTAATGAAACCATTATAACTCAGGATGCATCACTTACTACTGCTAAGGCGCTGCAAAAGTGTAACACATCTTCAGCTGATACACAGTGCAAATAGTAGGCCTAAAAAGCACACCTTTGTCCCTGCAAATTTTCATCTGGTAACTTCTATCTAAGTAAATAAGATCTTTAGAACACTGACCTTTTAGGCAAAGCTTTGAGCATGCCGAATTCTCACACTCTCAAAAATATGGTACAGCATTTCATATCAATTTCTTAGGCTCTCTCAACCTAAGAATAAAGTTGTGTGCTACAGTTAAGGTGGCAAAACACCCCCCCACAACACAAGTGCTGCTGCCAGTAATATTTCAATTTGCATGATCATGCACAGAAATATTCCCAATAATAAAAGAAAACAATACACTCCTCAGAGAAGGAACAGGACAAAAGTGTGTAAGTGTACATCATACATTTATTACCGAACAACTCTCTCAACTCCAAAATTGGGCACAGGGATTAAAAATAAAAATTCATTGCACTACCTAGTAAAGCATTACTAGTAACTCTCATAAAAAATGTACAAATTTTGTTAAAAATTTATCAAGCCTTCAAATGATTTGGTTACAGATATTTATAGTACATTTAAAACTACATGTTAAATGATACAATAGCATATGATTCAAAGAAAACACTTAACAAAATATGATTCCAACAAAAACCATAAGCTTTCATAATAATTAGCAAGTCTGAAACACAAGTAGCAAAATGAGGTAACAATGTACCAAAGGAAAAAACCACAGCTTTTACAAAGGCCCAAAGATAACTCAGTTGAAACTGTTTTCTACAATTAAAACTAAAACAGTTGGTAAGTCTCATCCCAAGTATTATGCATTGTATTAACAGCTGTGAAGTCACATTCAAGAGCCTGTATAAAATGACGTACAACACATGGCCTTACTTCTTTCTAAAGAAGGACAAAAAATGAGACACTGGAATTATCTGTAGGCCTTGATATCCACCAAAATGTCAAACTAAATTGACAGTTTATGCAAAAAAACACAGCAGTGCCAATATGATAAAGCAAACATATTGGAGGTCAGATATTTTTCTTTTTTTGGAGAAAAAAGAGTCATTGGCTGGCAGAAAGGCAATGAATATAAAGGAAGTGTTGCTGAATTCAGGTGCTGTCAGGCACCACGGCAGCTGTGCATAATACATGGCAGTTAAGAGCTGAACATAAATCCCCTGCCCTTGACAGTCACCACAGAGGATGTGGTTGTAGCCTGTCTGAGCTAATTCAAAACACAAGCATGTGTGCTCTTTGTACACACTAACCACGGGAAGCAAGTCCACATTCATCCATGCAAACCGAAGAACCATTCCAGAAGAGATGAGCCATAAGAGTGCAACAATTAATTGCAGGATTTTACCAACTTAGACCCTCCATCTCCTAGATCTCCCATTGTCTCACTGAATTTTAGTGGGGGAAAAGGGACATTTCTCCAGTTCCAGAAAGAGAACTACTTTCCCTCAGCTTCAGAAGTATGTGTCTTGTGCACTTGTATCAAGTTTAGAAAAAGTACCCTCTTTCCAAGCTTTGAACTGAATACTAAACACAGAAATGTTAGTCATGTTTAAATCTGTACATGGATTTTTTTTCTTTTGCAGTTATATAAAAGAGGCTAAGTTTTGTAAGACATACGTGGCATATGCTTTTTAAACATGATTTTATTTGTTAAAAAAATAAATTTTATTACATGTAATTTAACCTGCTAGGTGCTATTGTGAAAAGCCTATTCTTTAACTCCACTGGAAGAGAGGAAAAAGAAATTCTAATATTTTGAAGTGGAAGTAACGGCATTTTTATTTATTTAGTGTTCCTATGTAAGGATGGGTATGGAAAGCTTCACTGTTTTTGAGAGCTACCTGCGTAACTAAAGAGGGAAAAACATCTAAAACAGGGTAAAATTGTGCTTTTATTTAGCTGCACCAAGAGCTGTGACTGGTCTGTAAAATCTTCAAAGAGGAAAACCAGCATGGAGAACACCCAACACTGTTGGAAATTTTAACTGATACTAAAGCATAGCAGCATACAAAAGCATCAGAAATGATAAAGAATAAACTTAAAGCTGAGACTGGCAGCAAGCTGTAGCAATATTGGCAATTGTGCCACTTGTGCTGCTGCAACCAAAGTAATGACACTGTATTTATGAGAAGAGTTTAAATGCAAAAAGTGCATCCTTTTAGTAACTGTGGTATATACAGACCTAAAGATTTTGCTAGAAGACATCAGAGATGTTAACAGTGTAAATATTACAAAGAAAGCTCATTTTTTTCAATAGCCCAAATAAAATATTATTCAGAGCACTTGAATAGACATTATCCCCTCCTATTTCACAGAACTGTTCTGGAAAGTATTCCAAATTTCTCCTCTAGTGGAGCACTCTGGAAACTTGATTGCAAAAACCTATGGAGTTCCTTCTTCCTATTATACTCATCATGAAGTAAGGAAGGGAAGGAAGCAGCATTAGGGCAAGTGAATTCTGCAGTTAATGACCAAACCCTACCTCCTCTTGTGACGGGATGAAAGAAGTATTAAATTCTACTTCTCTGAGAAAACACTAAAAAATGTATTTTATTAATGAAATTGCAGGAATAAAATTGTAACCTTTTACAAGTTATTTTAGTTACATACCAACTTCCTTGTAGATGACAAAGAATGTATGTGATTAAAGCCAATGTTTATAAGCTAAAAGATGATGTCCTTAGCAAGTACAATGGGAAAAGTTAAGAGCTGTTCCACAAGATCAGGACACCCTCAGTGTACTTTCTGCTTCCTTTCATGGAACAAACACATAACTGGTAAACCCAGCTAGAGGATTTAAAAGGAAAACAGAAAAACATTGATATTCATATTAGCAATTGAAAACATTAGTATTGCTAAATGTGATATTGCAACCCTACATTGATAAAATAACTTGTAAATCAGCCATTAAAAAATACAGACTTTGTAACATATGATAAAACCCCCAAGGTTACTCATGTATGAGCAATCAATGCATTCTTTAGTGGTACACACTTAAAGCCTCCAGTGAAAGGGAAGCATAACAGCTGTTTGAATAGTAGTAGGTAGAAAGGTCGTTACACCTGTAAGTACGTTGGGGACAAAATACTAAATGTCTGTAATTGCTGCACCCATTGCATTCAGTGTGCAACTGCAAACACAAGGAAAGGAACCAGTGTACAGTACTAGTACTGTTTAAATAACACACAAGATTATACATTGCAGCATAATTATTACTACACACACACGTTCTCAGTACATGCTGGTATATAGGTTCTCAAACACGCACACACACCCAGCCAGAAGCGCGCTTCACTCACCCTCTCACAGGCAAACACACATTCACACCGTTCATCCCCACTCACAGTATCTGAAGGCTCTATATAAGGTAGATTGCTATATTGTTTGGAGCTACCACTTTTTTTTTCTTTTTCTTTTATATAAAAGCACATGCTAAAAGATCACATCCACAGTAATCTCGCAGCAATACTCGGAATGATCACACAAAACCCAGGGAATGTTAGTGCACACACAGAATTAAGCTAAAAAAAAAAAAAAAAATTCTTTGGAGTTCCAATCACACTTGTTAGTATAACAATCCCGTAACTGTGAAGACTAGTTATAAGCTTTATAATTGATTAAGTCACACAGTGCAAAGTAAGGTCCATTGACCCTTTTGTGTAAAAGGGTAGGCTGGAAGCCACATGGGTAGGTAAGTTCAATAGAGTTCATATATACATGTGACCAGAAACACCCAAACCAGATCTGTGCTCTTAGATTGGTCATTCTGAATCACGATGCACTTCTGAAGCATCAGCTCTACAAATCGGGCAGGTACGATTTGCCTGTAAAACCAGAAAAACAAAAGAGAGTTAACAAGACTGACAAATACATTGTTAAAAAAATGTGTATGTGACAATGCTATCTGTGACAGCTGAAGAGCAATCCAAGAGAAGACAGAATGTACTTATGCCTTTTCTTATTTTGTTTTGTTATGTTTCGTTTATGTTTGAACAGTGTGATGAGTTTGCCAACTCAGAATTTACAAAAAAATAACTGACCCTTTTATTTTTAAAGACAAAGACAACAAATAAGGCTCTAGCTAAGTGATGGTGGTTTCATTAATGCAGACTCACAGTTACAGTATACTGCAGTTGGATGGATGCAACTAAAAACCTGTACTGTATGCTGCAGAGAAACCCACCAGAACAAATTGAGACATCTTGGGCTGCAAATAAACATTTTGTGTGATGATGTCATATTGTCACCAACTGATCAGGAATGACATCATACTTTGTTTTATTCAGTTATCATAATAGAAAAAACATCATATAGTCTTGGCCAAAGCTGAAAGCAAACCAGGGAAAAAGGGAGGGTCTTTTAGTAAAGTGGAAGGGGAATAAAAAAAAAATAAAGAAAAGATGACCCAACCAAGCAGGTATTCAAGTCATGTGCATCACCAGGCCTAGATTTAGCTCTTCTGTAAAACACACACTGAAAATATGTATGAAAATATAACTTACTTTTCTAGCTTCCTTAAAATTGCAGAAATTGTAAGCTTCCAGGAATTACAGAAATCTACTGTGCCAGGATAAAATGAATACTCATGGACACCACACCACAGCTTTTCAAGTAACTTTTCAAGATCCTACATGAACATCTGCTTTAAATTTAGTTGCATTCTTGTGTCTTTCATGAAATGAACTTCCCCCTCCTGGCATTTAATATGACTCTTTGATGTCAAAAGAGAAGTGAGGGGGACATAATATTGTAATATTGACCTTCTAACTTGCCACTCTTCCAGGCAGACTTAATTTTCTGCTGTAACTACAGAGTGCTGCACAATGAATTGATTTATTTATTTTTTTTTTTTTATTTTATAGGAATTTATAGTTAAAATGAACTGCATTTAGAATAATGAAACTATAGGGCTACTAGAATCATCTAAAAACCACTGCACTACTTCGGTGTTAATAGAAGTAAAAGAAGTAAAGTAGTAAGCTGAAGTAGTTACAGTTTGTCTTTTTCCATATATAATACAGCATTTCCTACCTAGCATTTCCAAGTACGTTAAATACAAAGGCAGGTTGTCCTTTTAGGGTTGCTCTAAACTCTCTGGGTGAAGACAGGTCACGGTGCCAAGCACTCCTTCGGAATGATGACTTTTATTTCATAGAAGAACACATTTCTCATGTTTCTCTCTTTCTCATACTTGAATAGAGGATATAGGCTAAGAAGTAGCCTAATGTTTTGAAACAAGAGAATTGGGAATACTACAGAAAGTAGAAGGGTAGAAGGGTAACCTCTCTCTTTTTAATTCTGTTGTTTCCTCCTCTGTATTACATCTTCTCTTGTCAACTCTTTAAGTTTGCTCAAATAGGGAACTATTTTAGCTGAAGTGGGCAACCTAATGCACTGTTACAGAACATCTCCTCTTACTTGCTCACCACCTAAAAAGATAGGACTGTTAAATATTCAGTGCATACAAGTCAAAGCTTTTTCAGTTTTTTTACTTCTCCATCACCACCAACATGCAACCCAAGAGGAGTATTTTTAAAGTGCTCAGATTGAATCACTAACCTTTTACTTATATCTTTCACTAAAGTGACATATGATGTAATTTAAAAAAGACTCAATTGCACTACATAGTTCTAGAAATAGTCCTAGATACCAGTCCTAGATAACAATTACACTCTCCAAAGAAATGAGATTGAATCAGTAAAAATAGTGACTAACCAATTATGTTTTTCTTTTTCTACCTTGAGGAATAATATTACAAGTACTAAAAGCTACAATTTTAACCCTCCCTTGTAGAATTCATGAACATGATGTTGGCTGGATGATGTGAACTGGGTGGATGTGGACATAATTATACAATCAAGATGCATTTAAAAAACTCTCAGATTCATAAAGGAATGGACAGAAGCAAAACTAAAGCACAAAATATTTTCCAGTTATCATCACTTCCAGATGTTAGCTTTTTAATTATAACCAAATTTAGACAGAGGCTTTAACTAAAATAGACTGGTTTTACAGGTAATTCATTACAGCTTCCAAAGCAAAATAGTCTTTATTTCAATATACCATCTCCAAACCACTGTAACTGAACCCACATTCAGTGAAAGTATTGTCTTAACGACCCTACACTAGGATGGGTTAACCTTGTCTATCTTATTTTGCACTCAGCTCTGGAATAACAATGTCAATGCAAGTTTTACTAGACTTAACTGTACCCCTCTACATTTTGATTGCATATCTTGCACCTCTTTCTAAAGACTATCTTTAGAAAATACTACATGTGAAGATCTGTTAGGAAATGCGGTTTCTAAGGTGGGACAGGAACATCAGCAAAACTACTTCACTGCTAGAATATGCTAGTATACTATGATTATGAAAAATCGCTAACACACTACGATTATGAAAACAGACTAAATTAAATATACTTTTTTTCATTTTTCAGTTCCAAATTCTATTCCCAGTTCATTAGCAATTGAAATGACTAACTCTCAACTTTAAAAGTAACATACTGAGTCCCAAAACAGATTAATTCAACATGCTTGTCTGACTCCTGAGTGTGATGTCAGGTAAGAAAAAGACAAGCATTATACTTTCCTGGTATGTTCTCTAACTTCCAGAAACCTACAGATCAAGGGTTCTATGAATCAGAAGTAAATTTTTTTAAAGTAAATTAGTAGCCTGGAAAGAGCTGTCCTTAAAGAAATCCACATAATAAACCTACAGCATGTACTGTCTCACAGGCTACGTCAAATGGCACTTTGTTTTTTTTTTTACAACATGGAGAGAATACTATCCCTGGATACTCACTGTACACACCACAACCAACTTAAGAGAGTTGCAGTGAAAGATTGACACATGTAGTGTAGATATTGCTTGACAAGGGAGACAATGAGGAACACCACTTCAATACACAGACTCTCCTCCAGAGGAAAACTGATAATATTATGTGGAGTCTGTGCTTGTGGCATTTTAGCATGGCAATAAAACAACCAGATGCTGACTCTTGAGCATGTATGTGAATTCAGATACTTTTGGACCATTTCTACCAAAAATTATGAGCATTACAAATAGTTACACTGGCCCTAGATTTTGCAGAAGCTTTAGACTTAGACTACCATGGGTACTGTAGCCAAAGGGCAATTTCACATCCCATTTTTTCAAATCCTTCTTATTATTCTTGGTATCTTCTCAGCTAAAAAAATACTTTCAATATTAATTTGATTTTTTTCATTCTCTGCACAGCATATTTTAGCATTTGTCTAAGATATGATGCCATATTTATGATGCCATAAAGGCAAGAGGGTTTTATTTCTCTCCAAAACAACGAACACCATCTATAATTTTCTAGGGACCATACCATCGTAAGATCACTGTAGTTTCCAATGTTCCACAAAACAGACTAAATGGATTAAAGCTGAATAGAATAAAATAGTCAAAAAAATGAGTCACGATGGGAATCAATACCTTGCTGGCAGCAGATATGGCTCAGTGCAGCCTGTAGAAATGTCTGCCAAAACCTACTTGTATTTCTTGCTCTCACGTTCTGCACAGCTGCTATTTAATCAGTGCTCTTACAGGGTGGTCCTGATTCTTGAGCCTTTGTTTTTTGCTCAAATTCTCTTGGATGGGTAAATAATTTTGTAAAACTGTAATTTCTATTTGTATATATTGTATTTCTGTGTATATGCATAAACCTAAACGCATACATGTAACCCCTTTATTTGCCCCAGAAACAAACAATAGCCAAGTGGGGAAGGAAATATGTTGGAACTCATTCTTGCACATTATTTTGTACACTGGCTGGGAAATGAAAATTGGTGGATCTGAACTACTACAGCAAGCAATGTAAAACAGTTGAAGCCACCATCACCATCAAACTCTGCATCACACCTCCTATACTATTTACTTTTTTTCAAGTCTTCTTTAATGTTGCATATTACTCAAATGCACAATTATTTTTTTAAGCAAATGGAAAACACAGTAAGAGATGTCAACACAAACAGCTGTATTCATACACATTTTCCCTTGTGCCAAATACTATGAAGAAACAATCTTCATCAATTATTAGAATAATGTAATATCTAGGCAGTGCTTCCATTCTGCTGGCATTTTTAAGTATCAGAAACATGAAACAAGATAAAATGAAATGGAACAACAAAATATCCCCACCCTCTCCTACAAAATCACATAATCAATTTCATCTAAGATAGGATTACTTTTTCTTACCTTCAGCCATTTATCAACACACTTGGCATGGAACTCATGGTTACAGGGTAAGACTCTAAGTAGCTGCCTTGACTCAAAATCACACATGCACACCACACATCTAGAAAAGACAGTGAAGTTCAAATGTATCTGCTATGCAAGAACAACACAAATATGCAATTCCATACAAAACTTTACAGGTATGATTGCAACACAGTAGCTATTTTACTCTTTCAGTAGCTACAGCGATCTACATATCTGACAATGTAAACTGAGATTTGACTCTGGGGTTTTATGTGTGTTCTGTTATTTATTTACTGTGTTTTCACATCACAAAGCAAGTACTCTCGCTCTTCTGACCTAGCTGTTACTGCAAATTAAAGAAAATAACATCAAGCCACCTAAACTATGGATCTTTGAAAGATACCAATATACTTACAATGTCTGCTCTGACTGGTGATTGTTTGGATTGAACCTGTAGGATGGAAGCTGCTCAATGTCTGCTTTTGTTAATCCCCGTGGTTTGGCTTCTCCCAGACGTTCTGCCAAATTCAGCAGTGCCTGCAAAACATGGAAACCAGACATTTAAAAATTCACTGATCAAACAGGCTCTGGTTCCATTAGTGCTAGGGACTACCATCACATCTCACTACCTCAGCTGCTAGCACAAAACACCCTTCTATCAAGAAACGTTTAGAACTTTAGTTCTCCCATACAATACAAACTCCTTGGAAAGTCTTTCAGAACCTAACCATCTTTGTAATTATGTAAGATATTACCTCTGGGATTTCAAAACCCACTTCGCAAGGACTCAAATTCCAGTTAGTCCTGTGACTACATGCACAGCTCAGTAAATAATTAATTTCTAACTAACTCGCCTCACCCTGCTATGAAATTAACAGTGCTGTTGACCAGAAAAAAATTGCCAACTAATTTCCTTCATAAAAACACATGAATTTGGTCTTCTGAGAGAAATCATAAATTTAATGAGACAGCTTATGATTCCCACTCCATGTCTTGGGCTAGCTGAATTTAAATACGGAGATATTATCTTCAATCTGGAAAACAAATACATATCATCGAACTTTAAGCACTTTCTTGGCTGCTAATTTTTATGTTAATTTTCTGTAATCCAACAATTGCAACTAAAATCCTTTCATGTATATAATTTGCAATCTGTCGTGTATTTAACTCACGCTCCTTCATAAGGGTCCTAGGAAACAACGTCACTGGGATAGAGAATCAGTCTACAGAAAAGATCCTATGAAATGGTATTGATTTCTTAAACTTATGAACTAGGGCCCAAATTCTCAGAAGACATTGCTTCTTCTGAACCACCACAGAAGTTATTACAGAAGCGCTCATTGTTAAACTGAAGACGTGCAACTACAGAGATCTCAACGGGAGCACAGGCAAAGAGATGCAAAAGTCAGCGTTAATGATGACTAACTTAGGAGAAATCAAATGGAATCCATTAGCCTCAGAACCAACAAAGAAACAACAGTTGGAACAGCCCCATAATTATCTAGGATATTTAAGAGGGTTCTGCATCTCTAGATGTGAATTACCATCCTCTCCAGAGAGCAAGAAGAAAATGCAGTAAGGCAATTTTATAAACATTACGTTTAGATTAATTAATCCTATGATATTAAAACTATCCTGAAAGTTACACTCATAAAGCCATTAACTTACCCTTTTCTTTTCAAAGTGTTTCACTTCTGTTTGGTATTTAAAATAAATTAAATTTTGAAAGGAGAAGAGTAGCATGGAGAACATAAAAGTTGAACAATTTAATGATTACTAGACTGGATAGGTGAATTCTGAGAAAGAGCAATAGACAAGAAAGAAAGCTAAACACTTCTAATATCCAGTATTACAAAAAAAAATCTGAAAGAACCATTTTTGGATTCTGTCTTCACAGTCACTACATTTATTTGGAAGACAAAACCAGGATTAAAAGCAAAATATAATAAATTTTTTCCTATTGCTTGAGCTAACATCTGTTCTTTAAAGGTAGTTGTAGTTCACACACCAACCTCATAGTTTTCTACCTCTCCATCTTCCACATCCAACTCAAAGCTGAAAGCTGGTCCAACTGCCGGTGGCACTGGGAGCATTGATCTACCATGAGAGCAAACAAGGATAAGGTTCAGCATCTTGCTGAAGGAAAGCACAGAAACATCTGGCAGAGGTAAAGTAACCTTTCTGATGCCTCTCAAACCAACATGTTCTCAGAACTGGCAAAAATGTTATGTTTGAAATCAAGAACAGACATTTGAAGTGAAAGAGTCACAGGAAAAAGCTTTTTCTGACATTGGGAATGCTGACTTTTTAACTGCATGCACGTTTCACTCGGTACTTTTAACCAACAATAGTCTAATTATCACAGACCATGGAGACCAAAAACTGACAAAAAAATTGAAAAAAATTCTGGTTTTAAACATGTTTTATTTCTCTAAGTGGATAAAAGACCATCAAAGAGGAATGCTAAGTTCATTTAGCTCTCCAACATAAAAGTCTTGCAACTTCTGCAAGCCTAAAACACACAGTGAAGATAAATAGGATTTGCTACCGGACTAACTTCCATCCTGAAAGCAAGCACAAATTCACTTTCTCAGGTACTGTGATGTTGGTTAAAGCAGAATCCTTTCAGACTGAGAGATCAGAGAGATGTTTTTCTGGTTGTATATTAGTATGTCTTTTTACCCCCCTAGGTAGTACAATGGGTCAAAACTTCATCCACAGACATGGAAATCACAAATTCAAAGCACTACTACAGTAGAATCAGGAATTACTGTGCCACATCATGTCCTCAATGAATAGGCAAGAAGCTATGACTTTATTTTCAGACTGCAAGATGAAAAGTCGAACAACTTTGCTGAATCAGTTTTCTGGTGCCATTTTCATGCTACGTCTGAAATTGCACAGAGAGAATCTACAGATCTGGTGTCTTGGTTATTTCCTTGTCAATGTCACCTTTGCCACCAGAAACTTAATCTTTGTTTTCCAAACATTTAAATCTTACTTCCAATATAGAACACAGAAGACTAATACATCTGATGTGACAGACCCAAACTCTCTTCCAGAGAGTCTACTGTAACACACTACAGATAATTCCTAAACATTAATTGTCCCCCATCTTTTCCAGAAACAGATACTCAGAGGCAGAACAGAAATATGGCAGCTGTGACAGAGCAGCACTTCAGCCAATGAAGAGTAACACATCACAGAAGTTCCCACTCTTGTGATTTATAAATAAGAACCAAACCAAATTTATTTATTCCATAAGTGAAGACTCCTACAACTTGATCCTACAGTATAACTATGCCTCTGTAAGAGTACCATAGAACTATGATTTAAAATCTGTTGAAGATTTTACCAAGAGTTCAGAAACAAGAGGCTAACTGTGCCTCAAAATACCTACAAAACTACACTGGACAAAAACGATTTACTTGTATTTTTCCTTGCTCAGTGGTGTAGGTTATTCAAAATAGGCTGAAAAGTTTACACAAAAACGGAAGTTTTCCTCTGAAACAGAGGTGAAATATGAGTGGTCTCTGGTAGAGTCCAACCATAAAAAGTGCCAAGATGTTTGCTGACTTCTTAATAGCCTATATGGAAGCAAATGTACTTTTCACTTACAGCACATAAGGTAATAGGCTGGGATGGTAAGGGTGTGGTGGTATTGGCTGCTGTGATCGGTATCTGCTGCGCCCTGTGAGTCTTCGAGGCATAAAAGGTGGGTAAGGCTGCAAGAAAGAAGAAAATAAGCTTCAACTGAAACTTGTGGAACTGGAACTTGAGTCCAGTTTTGAGCTCCCCAGCACAAGACAGACATGGACATATTGGAGAGAGTCCAACAAAGGGTCACTAAGATGGGACTGGAGCATCTCACATGTGTGAAAAGGCTGAGACAGCTGAGCCTGTTCAGCCTGGAGAAGAGAAGGCTCCGGGGGATCCTATCAATGTATATAAATACCTGAAGGGAGGGTGCAAAGAAGACGGAGCCAGGCTCTTTTCAGCGGTGCCCAGTGGCAGGACCAGAGACATTGGGCACAGACTGAAACACAGTAGGCTCTGTCTGAACATCAGGAAACACTACTTTAATCTGAGGGTGACTGAGCACTGGCACAGGTTGCCTAGGGAGATGGTGGAGTCTCCCTTTCTGGAGATACTCAAAAGCTGGCTGGACATAGTCCTGGACATCCAGTTTTAGGTGGCCGTGCTTGACCATAAAACCTCCCTTTCAACCTTATCCAGTCTGTGAGCCCATGATTCAACATTTTCTATGCTTAATCTCTACCCTCAGTAATGAAATCTACTTTCAGTAAATCATTATTTTAAAAATCCATACTCTGCTAAAATCTGTAAGAATCTCAGCCTCAATTTGAAATTACTATTCCCATCTATAATATACAATCATACCACTTCAAGTGAGAAAGTGGTAATATACAACAGAAATCCTTACAAGTTCTTGTGTGTTTACTGTTGGTATAGTTTGGGAAACAGGATGTGAATTGTTGACCCTCTTGTAAATAAAAAAGGCTAACGCACCTTATGCAGGCCTGTGCATAAGCAGTTGAGTAAAGAAGCCCTTAAAACTCATTAAAAATGAGAATTTAAAAAAAAATCTGTTTAAAAAACCTCTAACATTTAAGCAATGATATATATTTACGTTTAGGCTTAAAGGCTTGAAGTCTTTCAGGTGTATGTGGGAGGTTTAATCACTATAATTTCTGCAGCTGGACAACACATAGAGAGACACTCACGCCCAAAGTTTCAATGCATTCATTCCATAGAAAAACCAGGGCGCCTTTTGTCATCTTTTAGTAAAATGTTTTTGTGTTTTCTGCAACTGAAATTCATGTGTCCCTACTGAATTCATATTTGAGGGTCTTAAGACTTTTTTTTTAAACAAAGAACACTTATCTAAGCCTTTACTAACACATTTTTCTTACATGTTTGAAATCTAAAATCACATCACCCCAATGACTAACCTAAAATCCCCTAATTTTACATTATATTATAATTACATAAATTATAATTAGATAGCCATACATAAAAATAACATATGAATATAAACACAATGCAAAAGAACCATGTTCCTTTTGGTTGAAGTCTCAAACAAGATGTATCAATTTTGCTGCTTTGTGAATTCTGCAATCCAAAAACATAATTAGAAACTGTTGTGTACATGGAATGAGAAAGAATCAGAAATGCAGCTATTCTACTGTAATGTTAATGCAAATAAAGCCTTTTAAAGACTTATTATTACTTTATAAAAGGCCACATGGTTACTTGTAGTATGTCTCTATTCTACTCCTTAGCAATAAACAACACAGAGCTGAGGCATCAGAGAGGACAAATGCTACAATCTGCAGAAAATGGTATTATGTTCCCTATCTACTTTAACAACCAAACCTAAAAATTAAGGAAGTCTGACTCCAAGCAAAACATGTATGATTAGACTGACTCATCTAACAAGCATACTGAATAAAATACAAGCAGTTTATGGAAGCTTTCAAGTGTCCTGGACTCCAGAGTGTCTCATACTGCCTGAAAACTTCATTCAAAATCAGTACACTTTTAAATTATGAGTAAGTTGATCACTTTTTGAAATGGTGGACATTAATGTGAACCTTCATAAAAACTGCAGCAAGTATTTGTCTAGGTTCTGTGATTTCAAGGAGACTCAGTAATGACAAGGTATCTGCATATTCCGCAGCTGCAGGGCCTAAAATTTAATTATTATTTAAAATTTAAATAACAATATGCCCCTAAAACCACTGACAACTTCATGCACATGTCAAACAATAAAAAATTTCAGCATCTATACTTGGGATCTAGTTTTTTCTCCCAGCACCACACAGGCAGGAGAGAGGGCATTTGTTTTTTTTTTAAAAAGTGACCCGCATGAAACAACCACAACAACGACAACAACAACAAAAACAACAACAACAAAACCCTGACCCATTTCAGGACTAGTATAATTACAGACTAAAGCAGATGACAAAGATTGTAGAAGTAGCATCACTGAACACACCACAGAAGCACACAATTCAACAAAATTCAACACAGATTTTATCCTGCACCACTTTAAATTTTATTTTGTGCCACTGCAGTTGAACTGGCTGTCAATCCCCTGAAAGCTGACTTACATCCAGCTTTATAACATGGCTATATTTATAATATATGGTGTGGTCTAAATCATGGAAGCACTCTACAACTGCTTAAAGAGAAAAACTGCTTTTAAAGCATTCTGGCTTTCCTGAGCTGTGGAAACTCAACATGATGAAGAATTAACTAAAAGAAACAATGTTTTTTTCTAAACTGTACTAACCAATTCTTGCAACCGAAGTCCTGGACTATGTGACAACATGGAAGTTTTCTAAGTAAATCCTGCTGCACTCTGCAGATAATGTTACTGGAAATAATTTGCTGGTGCCATTAAATTACCCTTGACTTGATTAACATAAGCTTAAAAAAAATACCACAGTATGCAGCTATTCCAACAATGGAATATGATTGTAAAAGTGTGACTTTTCAACCAAATGTACTACAGAGTAAGGATCGAGAATGTTAATGCAGTATGAAAGAGAATGTAGCATAGAAAACAATACTTACTACCCCAAATGACACCTCCTGGTGTAATGGATCATGGGCTAAGAACTGAAGAGGAGCTGAGGGAGGCAACGTTGGTGGATGGGCTGAGGGAGGGTATGTAAAACCTCCTACAGGAAGATGTTCTCCAAGCAATTCTACATCATTTTCTATCCTTTGAAGTGGCTACAAAAAAAACCAGAGATAGCCTTTGTTGCAATAATAGAGATGAAATCTTTTCCCCAGTAAAGAACTGCAGTCCCAGCTATATATTCTGTGCTGCTGTGATCAATTTTATAGTAACTCTGAACAACTCCTAGGTCATTAAAACTAACCAAAAAAAGCAAAGACAACACTACACATTTGATATAAATTCACCTTTTCCAGATAGCCATGCTTATAGACCAGGAATTTATGTGATCTAGCAAATATAGGAGTGACTGTAATTTCCTGTATCTTGCATTTTTCAGGACAAATATTAACTCTCCTTCTTGTCAGGCTGCTCTAACTGTATAATATGCCAGACAAAAAAAAAAAAAAAAAAAAAAAAAAAAAACAAAAAAAAAAACAAAAACTGGCCCAA